ACAGCCAGGACTTGATCTGGCACGAACGCATCTCGTTAATAGTGGCAGCTGCTGGAAAAAAGCTAAGCTATTTGTTTAGGGCAAAGAAGTACTTTTCTCCACATGACCTCCCCACTCTGTACAAGGCTCAGATAAGACTTAGCCTCGAGTACTCCTTACACGTTTGGGGTGGAGCAATGTCCGACTGATTGAAGACTCTTCTCTAACAGGCAGCATCGGAATCCTTTCGCACCGACGAACGTCGGTGCTCTAGCTCTCTTCTACCTCTACACCAACGGGCTTTGCTCCTCAGAGCCCTCCTCCATGATGCCGCCGTGCTATGTACCTGCCAGACAAACCTTAAACCCTAAAATCCTCCCTTTCTAAACGTATCGAATTTCGTGCATCCAGAACTGGCCGATCGACCGCTCCTTTGTCCCTAGGATATCGAGATTGTGTGTGACAGTCTACATGAGGAGGCTTTTCTTTAAATACTGACGGATCACAATAAATATTGATCATGTGACATTCGCCTAAGCAACTGCTGTCCAACTGAACATAATCGATGATGCAACATTATAACATGCTGTAATGACATAAAATTAACATGTGCTCTATTGAGATCATCTTCATGCCATCTCCTTTGCTGTTTTTAGTTATAACCAAAATAAAATGGCAAAACACCACTCATTCTTTTGCTTTCCATGGATCCTCTAATATAAGCCCCAAATGAGTATGCCTACTGACCATATACTCTAGAGTCTAGACTACATTAATCTAGATTAAATGGCAAATCTGACAATTGAACTCAATTGTCTGCCCAAATCAAATCAAATGTATGTTTTAATCTCTGTTTATTGTAGTATGTTTAGTGGATACAGTGGAATGCAACATGCAATGCAAATTAGTGACAGTATATTTTGTTTATCTGTCTTCCAGGTGACGACTCATTAATTTTTCTTTCTTTTTGTCTATAATAATAATAATCTTTATTCTGATATCATACACATGATATACAATATGCGTAAAAAATTTTATACTAAATGAAGATTTCACTTTTACAAACAGTTAAAAGCAAGCTAAGGCATATAAACTGTAAGTAGTCCGATAGTACATAAAATGATTTATAAAAACACAACCGTTCATACAATTACACAGGATTATAATGTTAGAAATTTTCAATTAAACTTCAATGAATAAAATCACTAATATGGCTAATACTGTTTACATCCCAAATAGGCACATTTTCTTCATTATTTAATGCTGCTACTCCATTCTCTTCTTTTCCTCGAATAAGCATGGAGATCTCTTCAGTCGTATACTTGCACACAATATGAACAAAACATGCTAACTCCTTAGTTTTGCGAAACTCGTGAACATTTTGTCCAAAATTCTTATTTTGTTGCATGGTTTCACTGGACTATTACAGTTGTTTATCTTTACAACGCACCTTTGCAGAAACAATAATTCGTTCAAGAGTAGTAAAAAAATATTTAATGGTATGAAGTGGATATTTGATTTGTCATCAATGTTTAAATTTGACTTTATATTTATTTTTATTACAATGCACCTTTTCAGAAACAATGCGTTCAGGAGTAGTAAAAAAATATTTAATGGTATGCAGTGGATACAAGACTATTTGATTTGTCATCAATGTTTTAATTTCACTTTGTATTTATTCCTCAATTGCACACTACACTACACTCGTAATGAAATCAGAATTGTCGGTAAAATTTATTGGTAACATCTATGGACTAAGATATGTGTTGATAGTACCATGCTCGCACTACCACACAGAATGTTGCAACAGTAGATTGAATGGTTCTGTAGCATGCCAAGATCATGTGAAGCTATTGTTACAATTTTAAGATGGCACTGCATAAAACCAAAGAATCCCGGGGATGCCTGGAGCAGGCATCCTCCCAAAGCACATCCAACCCCCCAAGGCGACAAGCAAGCATGTTGCAAAATAATAAACAAATTGAACATATACACACATTTGGTTTGATTAGGGCAGGCAATGGAGTTCTATGAACGTAAAAATCACAGGATAAGTTTCACGAGTTATATTAATTCTGATAATAGTTTCATTTTCAGGAGAAAAAAAAAACCAGTTACATGGCACATCGCATTTAGCTTTGAACTATCACAACATGTTGAAATCAGTATTTAGGAAATCACCAATTTTGTAAAGGCTAAAAATTTAACTTGATCTTCATTTTGGATGTTTATTTCTCTTGTGAACACAACTTGCTTAGTCTTTTGACCATTTAGCAACAACTTGGAATAAAACCAGCTTTTGTACTTCCATCAGAGAGCTAGCTGCAAGAGATACTGATGTGTCATCTGTATATTTGGGCATTATATTAATATAGATGAGAACCTTGTTGCAGACCTCCACCATCAATTTACTGTTTGATATCTCTCTTGCAGATATGACTCCACCAATGCAATGCTACTGGGGGAAAAGTTATAGCAAGCCAATTTTTTCAGAAGACTGTTATTGACACTAATGAAAACCTTACTTATGTCACAGACGTTATATACGTTTTTCTTTATAAATTTCTAGTTTGAATAGGAACAGTTGAAACCCATATAATATATGATATCACAGCCTGGGGTGCCACCTGCAAGACATATACCCAACCTGGATATACCACAAAAAACTGTTTTGAATGCCATTTTCCATAAGCCAAGATTATATCTGACGAACAACTTATATCAGGAAACACGGATACTTGATACAAGACAACTTTATTTCTTACATGCCACCACCTTATACCATAATTATTTTAATGAAAAGAAATCCTATAAACACGAGCATAACACATGATTTCGAATAGGCTCATCTAATATCCAAAGACCATTCAGATGAAAATTGTAAGACTGGGTTTGTACTGTGCAGCAAATGACTATACATAATTATATAGAAAACTAAAACAAAATTCCAATTATATTAATACTTTTTAGAATTTCCAATAATAATTGCTATACACATATGATTGATTGTTAGTTATTAAGATATAATACACACACAGGCGATGCCTTCTGTGGTTTTTTTCATATTTGTTTGCTAATTTTTTGTATTTTGGCAAATAAATATTATTATTATTATTATTATTCAAGGTATGGGATATAAGATTCAATATATGAAAGAAATTCTTGGGAGGTATACTCAAATTAATGGATTCTTATATGTTTGTAGTCAAAAAGCATTACTTCATTAATTATTACATAGCACTTATCATAACAATATTTGTGCTATGGAGAACAACAGACTGTATTTAAAAATTACTGTTAAATTTATGTTTATGCAAGAGTAGAGGAGAGTATTATTATTTTCTTGCAAATGTAATATGGTCAACCTGATGTGAATGATAAGGTAAGACACCCCACACCATGTTATTGGCATATTATATTAATTTTAATCACTGCAATGAGTTATGAAATGGTTTCACTTTTCCACAAAATTTCTTAGCTGACTACTTATTGTTGTTTGATATCTTACATTCTTGATAAAAATATAGCAAGATATTATTTGAATAGAAAAGAAAACTACATGTGCATAAATAGTAAATTAAAAGTGATAGGAAATAATATAGTTTTTAAAAAAACATTCATCCATTTAGTTTCAAATAAAGCAGTTCTATCAAAAAAGCTTACTAAAAGGAATTTAACACCTCATGAAAAATACCCTATACTGTATTTTGCATATAATGTGTTTCAAATGTAGAAGAGTCATGTTTATTTCTTCAATGCAATTATCCAACTATAGTTTTCTTTTGCAAAATAGATACAAGTTAAAATATTGTAACTTAAATGATTTCTAAGTTTAAATACATCTTCCCATCTAATATTCATTAATGTGATATTTAATATGTATACCTACTTTTGTGCTTTGACATACTGAACACTGAATTTAAGGAAGCCTGAAATAGCACTTTTAAAAATCAACAAATAACACCATCAACCTTGCTTTGTCCTGTCCTTTTTTTAACACTACTCTCAAATAGAATAACACAAGAAAAAACCTTGGAAACATCAGATTATAGGTCAAAATACGATCCAATGCTGATATGAAGTTAATAAAAGCTATGTTAACTCCTTCACCGATATGCAAGGATCCTCATGTCAATATGTATTTAAAATGACTATTAACTATAGATATATCCACGATGGATTAACATGAGATGCAGATATACAAACAATGTTGTAGATGAAATGTATAAAATTAAAAATTACCTGTTCTCAATGCTTCTCTGCTAGCTCCTAAATCTATGTCGATGGTGGCTGGTTCTTCAGCATCATCAGCCCGGATGGATCCTAAAATTTGTTGTGTGTTAGAAAAAACTTCACAAAAAAGAAAAGTACTTGACATTTACCTATAAATAAAAATAGAGCAGCAACGACGAAGACCCAGTGCTTCATTTTTGCACTTCTCTCACAACTTTCCACATAAAAAAATTGTAAAACACTCCAAGGGCCGGCAAAGTATGTAACTGCACGTCTACCGAGAAGATGCCAAGTTGAAACGTCAGATTTTTGTCATTCTAGAAAGTAGAAAGGTGTACTGGAGAAAGAACCAATCAAAGGTCACCACGGTTGATGACGTTTTGACACCAACCAATAAGGTAGCATTCAGTCATGATTACTCCATATGGCTTATTTTCATTGGTGAACCCAGTGAGAGTTCAAAAGAACCATGTCAAGTAAATAGTACAGTGATTATTGATGAATGTCATGACAGTGATTCATACTATAATTCTAAAAAATTGTAATTTGTGTAGGCTAGAAGCATGAAAAATTAGCCCCACTGATGTAATGATAATTATAATATATTCAAAGATTAAACAACTACACAATTTCCGGTTCATAACTTTGAAACATATATTTCGTACCATTTTAATTTCAATATGACTTGTCTATAATTCAATCCGCCTATCATACAGGCAACCAGTGATACTGTAAAGTTTATGTTAGGCAACCAGAATGACAAGTAATTTGAATTCTTTTAAAATCTGGTTCTTGACGTAATAGATATTGAAAGAGAAATTCTCGTTTCCTGTTACCTAACTTGAACAATCATAAGATATGTATCTACACTGCGTCTAACGGCATGCGATTACTTATCGAATTTTAAAGACAGGTGATTTTTCAAAATCCCTGACGTATTGACATTTGTTTGACGTGGACGTGTATTGTGACAGGAAGACCGCGAGGAAGGGTTATGTTGTGTTTGCCTTCCAAGTTGCCTTCGAAAACTGAACCACAGCAAGTGATGTCGCGGATGATCAAAGTCTATAAATGAATATTCCTGTAGTGTAGTACTTATTTAAAATATTCTGCTTAGTCACAAATTATTACTTTATTCGGACGGGCTGTGTTGAAGTCAAGTAAAAGTGATGGCACCGAATTATAGCAAATTAATGAACAAAAATAATGTTCTTGCTGGGGCAGGAGCACTAGTCGCTATCTGGTATATTGCATTAAACAGGAGCAAGAATGTTAAACATCTAGACAGGTAGGTTGTACTGAAGTCTTTTATCTCCTTACATGTGATGTATATTATGATATTGTACTGCACTTTTTTACATTACCTACACATGCGGGGATGAAGAATAGTTATACCAATCCCCAGCCTTTTGGGCTATTATTTTTTTGTATTCTATTATTTACTCATATTTTAATCCTATTATGCATTAATACTCTAACAATTATTATCATTATTCTCATGTTAATTTCATTAAAAAATATCAGGAGTGGTATCTAAATGCTGTTGCTGCTTTTAAAGCAGTGATAACATTCCAAAAAGTTTTGTCTGTTATAAAATTGTGTATCCTGCATATATAATTTAGTATTGAATTACAGGATACCTAAGTCCCAAAGCAAAACACAGTAATAAGCTTAGGATATATAATTTTATAATACTTTTTGGAACTCTTGCTTTAACTCCTACTTATTTTAACTCAATAATTTTTTTCACTAAGCATATTCATTGACTATATTTTTATTTTTTGATAACACTTTTGATCTTGAAATTAGTGTGTCGAAGTTCTGACTCATTTGGCTATTACTATTTGTTGCCCACAGTTTCTTACCCAACTCTCATATTTATAACCATATTTGTACATTTAAATTTCTAACAATATAATTACTCGAATTATACAAATCAAGCCAACTACTGTGTTCATTACATAGTTTAGATAATCTAAAAACAGGAGAATGATTTATCAGATCTGATTTAGGTGGCATGGCATGAAAATAAACGTTATTATGTCTTAACATTCTTGGTGGCAGATAAAGTCTGAATTTTGACAATAAACTGAAATTATCAATAATGTTATTAAATAAATTATAAGCAAATAAAACATCATTCCTGTTCCTAGCACTTTCAAGCATTGGAATCATAATTTTGTTTGAAATATTTGTGTAGTTGTGATCGGTAAAGTTCATTGGCATACCAGTTCTGTATGCAACATATCTTAAAAAGACATGATTGGCTCTTTCAAGAGAATCTATTTGATATTTAATATAAGGATTCCAAACTACAGAACCATGGCTTAGAATTGGATATACAAATGAATAGTACAGAGTTCTGAAGGTGCTAATACTTTTAAAATCTCTTTAAAAAATTGATTTTTTTTATTGCTGAATTTCTAATGTGTTCAATATGATAATTAAAAGATAATTTAGAATAAAAAATGATACCAAGATCTTTTATAGAGTCTAACTTTTCTAACCCAACGTTGTCAAAGTTATAATCAACATCTTGTAAATTACATTTACCAAAAGTAATAAAATAACACTTTTTGATGTTAAAAGGTATGCTGTTTAATATACTCCAAATAAGTAACGAATATATATCAATTTGCACTAAGTATCTATCATAAATAGATCTAATTACTTTATATAATTTTAAGTCATCAGCAAACAACAATTTTTTTATATTATTTATGAAAACAAGAAATAGCAATGGTCCCAAGTGAGAACATGAGACATATGATATATGATTATCAATTTTGACATACTGTTTTCTATCAGTCAAATAAGACTCTAACCATTTCAACAATGCACCATTGATACCATAAGCTTCAAGCTTATTTAGAAGCAAAGAAACATTAACTACATCAAAGGCACTAGAAAAGTCTGTATAAATAGCATCAGTCGCTAATCCATTGCTCATTGCATCAACTAAATTTTCTGTATATAAACTTAAATTAGTAATAGTTGATTCATTCTTCATGAAGCCATGTTGGTTTGTAATAATAAACCTTGATAAATAACAGGAAAGCTTTTCATGTACCAACTGATTTTTGCTAAAACATTAGGCTTACAAATTGGTCTATAATTGTTGACATCAGATGTATCAACTTTTTTATATAATGGTTTGATGAAGGGGGTTTTCCAGCAGCAAGGGAAAACACCAGATTGCAATGACAAATTGTAAATTTCAGTTAATTTCGGTAATAGGAATTGCGAGCAATTAGAAATCATTAACGGATGAATATTGTCAGGACCAGGTCCTGATTTAACATTTAATTTATCAACAGATTTAGCAACATTATCAATCGAGAATCTGACTGAACTCAAGCAATCATGGATTATGGATTAATTTTCTAACTCTACTCGATACATAATCAACATGCGGCTGCCACTTTAAATGTTGGGCAATAATGATTCCAAGATATTTAGTTTGGGACACTTCCTTAACAGAATAATTATCATCCAACATAATATTGCTGTAATTTGGTCTGTTTTTATTTGTCAACGAAAACGCAATATAGTTTGTCTTAGATAAATTCAATGTTAGTTTACTCTCTTGTAACCAGTCTTTTACCATACCTAGACCATACACTGTTTTACACTTTACATCCTCCCAACTAGAACCTGCAAAAGGAAGTATAGTATCGTCAACATAATAAATAGTTAAACCCTTCGTGTCCAGCTTTAGCATCTTATTTATATAAATTATAAAAAGGAGCGGTCCCAAAACCGTACCCTGTGGGACGCCAATCTTTATTATTTTTTCATTGCTTGTTCTGTTATTTAGTTTTAGCAGTTGTGGTCTGTTTGAAAGATAATCCCTCAGTAAATCATAAGCCACTCCCCTTATACCATTGCTGTGAAGAATTTCAATTAGCTTATTAGCAATACTCTTGTTGCCATTGTTCAGATTATTGACAATCTCAGATATTAATTTCTGCATAGCATCCACTGCACTGTAACCCTCCAGAAATCCAAATTGATTATCTCATAATACATTATTAGCTTTAAAAAATCCATTAATCGAGTTTTAAGACATTTTTCAAATAACTTGTTGCAAAATTTGTTATTAAACTTATAGGCCTGTAATTTCCAATAGATATAGTATCCCCTGATTTATGTATCAGGATAACTATTGACGTTTTAAACTCTTTCGGGACAATTCCAGTTACCAAAATTAAATTGTAAATATGTAATAATGGTGTTAAAATTTCAAAATGAGTTTGCTTTATAGTTTCAACCTGTATGCCATCATAGCCAGGAGCACTATTACTTTTCAAAGATGCGATGTGTTTTATTAGTTCATTTATTTTATTATTCATGTATTCATTCATTTTTCAATGTTTATAAATTCGCATTTAGAACTTGACAAAATATATTCAGCAATTCTAAAATACAAAATTTCTGATCATTTTCCTACTTTGCTCAAAATCGATCTTGTAACTACATCAACCAAAATTGAAAAGACAGTGAATAATACAAAAATTTACATTGATTATGTTAAACTAAATAACAACTTACTCAATGAAAATTGGATTGTAGTATATAACGAACCTAATATCGAAAATGCATTTGTCCTTTTTATATCTAGCATTGAAGGCCATATTGCTGAATGCACCAAAACAGTAAAGATTCCACAAACACAAATAAAAAGACAAGCATGGATATCAAAAGGGATTATTACCTCCATCAACAAAAAAAGAGAATTATATAAGGAAACCAAAAAATATCCTTATGATGTTAAACTTTTGAATGAATTTAAATCATATCGAAACAAACTGACAAAAATAATTAAAGAGGCTAAAATTAAATATCTCCAAGAAGAGCTTGATAGTCTACAAAATACGTTTCCAAAATGTGTCAATTTATCAATAAAATACAAGGCAGAAAACAAAACAACAAAATTAGTACAATTAAAAAAGAAAATGGTGAACTAGTGAGTAATGATGTAGATATAGCAAATGAATTTTGTGAATATTTTTCAAAAATCGGGAAAAGGTTGTCAGAAAACATAAAAAACGCGGAGAAATTAAATTATAGTAAGACCAGATTATATAACTCATTATATCTGGAACCAACCGATACGCATGAAATAAAGACAATAATCAATGAATTGAAAATAAATAAGAAAATCTCTAGGACTAGATAATATAACAGCATATACTCTCCAGAGAATACATTCCAACATCTGCGGCATACTGTCATATTTGATAAATTCTTGTATGAATAGTATTCCCTACATGTTTAAAACACGCTATGGTAAAACCATTATTTAAATCTGGAGAAAGAGAAAAACCCGTCAACTATCGATCGATTTCCATCTTAACAAATTTTGCTAAAATATTTGAAAAAGTGTTAAAAAGACGATTCACCGAATTTGCAAAAAAATATAACTTAATAGCGGATCAGCAATATGGTTTTCAAGAAGACAAATCTGCTCAAGATGCTATTGTAAAATTAACAAGTAAAATATACACGAATCTCGATATTGGCAAACCAACTGCATGTGTTTTGTTGACTTGGCAAAGGCATTCGACTCTATTACTCATGAATCGCTTTTAACAACTTTAGAAAACTTAGGTTTCCGGGGAATAACATACAAACTTATAGAAAATTATTTGTCAAATCGAACACAGTGCGTCAAAATTAATAACACATTCAGTGAACTCCATATTATATCATATGGTGTACCTCAAGGCTCAGTATTAGGACCCATTTTATTTAACCTATTTATCAACGATTTGTTCAAAATAACTAGTACAGGTAAAGTTATCGGTTTTGCCGATGATATGATATATGAAATAAATATGATATGAAAGCAACCAGTGGCATACACAAAACCACAATCGAACATGATTTCAAAACACACACCACAATTTAAAAAACTTGAAGTTCGTACAAGCAGTGGTCTCAAAGAGATTCAGTCAACCGATAAAATAAAATACTTAGGCGTGATTTTGGACAAACACTTAAAATGGGATACCCATACAGAGTACCTTGTGAAGAGACTGAGTTGTATTATTCCAAAATTCAGGTACTTCAGAGATATTCTAGATAAGAAATATCTATATAATCTATATTATGCTATTGTTTATCCTCTCTCTGTATGTGGAGGCTCAGCTATTAGATTGCAGACAAATTTATTTTTATTGTGGTCTAATACATTATTTCAAATATTCGAAATACTTGAATCGTACCATTCATAACTACCCAACAAGATTCAATCAAAATTCAGTGTGTATTCCACAAACATCAAAAACCATTACACAACGATCTCTGTTTTTCTTGGGACCAAAATTCTATAACTTCATACCAGAGTCATTAAAAGTAATTAAATCAAATAAATCATTTAAAAAAGAACTAAAAAAATGGATTTTACAACAACCAAGGTACTCCATCCACGAAATTGTAGATATGAAAAATCATTATCAAAATCAATAATATTTTACTTACACTAACATCCATACTTTTACTTTAGTTATAATTGTCTGGATATTTTTCCTGACATTACCATAATAATTCACCAAATTATACAGTATTAACAGTTTTTTTCATACACTGAGTGGTTGTGCTTTATTAGTTATACAAAGCACTCTTGGACTGTGATCCGTTATTTCCTCATTGAATATACAAGAATTTAATAATAAACAATTAGTTTTTAATTTTTGCCTAACAAATATATGGTCCAGGCAAGTTCCTGAAGACAGTCTAGTAGGTTTATTGATAAATGCGTTAAAGCCAAGAGAAGACATCATTGACAGATACTCTGTCACCAGAGTGTCCTTATTATCCAGAGTATTTATGTAAATATCCCCCAGAAATATTTCAATATTAGCAGAACTATTATGCTCCAAATAAATGTGCAAATCATGAGTGAAGTCTTTCTTTGATATTGGAGTTGGTATGTAAACGCACGTTATACCATACAAAACCCCATCCCTTTCAAACCTGAGACTACCTAAACTAGCCCTTGATATACTTAATTGGCACTTGGAGAAATTTGCCCTAATACCATCCCTAACAAAAACAATAACCCCATCATTTTTATTGCAATTACCTTCATTTTAAAAAGTTTGGTAGCCAGGTAAATTATAGTTCTTAATAGACACAATTTGAAAGGTTTCCGTGAAAACAATAACGTAAAAGCTAGATTATATAACTGTATATAAGCCAGAAAATTATCCAAATTTCTGTTGATACTTCTTATATTAACATGAACCACAGTTACAGCCAATGAATGTGCATTCTGTGACAAGAAGGTTTTTATCTGTTCACTGTCCATTATTTCACTCAAAGAACCATTGTCTTCATTAATTATATCAAGAATTTAATCATTTATGCGATTTACCATTATGCTTATTTACTATAGTCAGTTCTGGACTTCAAGATTCCAAATTGGTATTTTAAACATGGACAGTTTGCACTAAATGCATTATGATCTTTTGCGTACGTAGTTTTATACAGCTTATTGGCCGTGCCACAGTTCACACACGCCGTCTCCTGACTTTCACATTCTGTGGTATTGTGACTCCCTGCACAGTTTCCACAGACTTGCTTTCTAAGACACCGGTTACTTTTGTGTTGAAAGCCTGACACTTGAAACACCTAGATACAGTCAGATCCTCATTCACTGGCAGACGCTCCCAGTCTTTGTAATTTTTTTCATTTTTCATTATTTTAGAATATAAGTTTCCTGAACATTCCGCATAAATTGTGGAGGTATCTTTATTTTTATGTCTTCTAATATAATGTATCTTAAAGTGTCCGTTCAACTGCATCACATACCCTATTTTAATTTTCGGTAACATCTTTTTTGGTAAACTAACTTTATATTTACCTTTTAGTTTACTTTCTGCTGATTTCTTGAGTCTTCCTAGCTCCTGTTCTGTATCGCACTTTAATACAATATTTCCTTTCTTAGTTTCTTTAGTATTTCTAATTCCAACATTAATTTCGCATGGATTTATCAACCTTTACACCTCCTCTTTATTCTTTCCTATATTTTGTTGGCTTGTATGCCTAATTATTATGGTATGCAGACTAGGCTTATTAATGGAATCCGGCGCGGATGTTGTATTTTTTAACACTTTTGCATAGGTGTCTTTTCTGTAGTTTGATTTCAAATCTGCTAATTCTCTTTTAATTTCCTCCATCATTTTCACCATATAGGGCATTCTTGCTATTAATTGCTTGCATTCATCACAAATCAACAAAAGAACCCTCTTCTGTAGTGGCATACATCGCACTTCCGAAGATGTTAAATTGACACAATCCTTATGAACGCTCCCAAAACATGAATCACATTTATAGTAACCACTGTCTCTCTGAAATTCTGTTTTACATTTGATGCATACCTAGGCTTCAGGTGCATTGCCCTCCATCCTTGTTTATAATTAATGATTCTGTTTTGTGATGGTTATTATGATTGTGAGGCTATGTTTTCTTTTTAAAATTGTAGGATGATTAAATCAAAAGTATGAAAAATTTGATGCAAACAGATATTTGTGAGATATGATTCTGGATAACTAGACGATAAAACCAGCTAGTTATTCTGATGGTTATTGTTTTGTAACTGGCACTTTTTGTAAGCAAACTTTTTGTTGATGTGTACACTTTTTGTAAGAGAAATGTATCCTATTTGCAATTAACCACAAATGAAAAATATGTGCATAACCAATATTTCACTGCAAACATACTTCTCACAGCACTATTGTGATTCCTTTCAAAAATCAGATTTACTAAAGTGTTAACGTAGATTTTCGACAAAATCGGAAGCGCATTTTTTACACACGTCTATCGTTCGTGAATACATACAAAATATTATTGTTTCAATTGTTTGCAAACGCCTTTCATTCATTTGTCTAAGCACTGGACAGAATTGAGTTTTCAAAATGTGAGGTCCTCACTTCATGATCTGATATGAACTGAGAAAATGTCAAAGAATAATAATCGAGATCTTTTGAACTTTTTGTCAATTTTTTTAATCCTCACCTGTCTTACAAAATTACAAAAAAGCTTTTTCACTTCACCCTTTTTTTAAAGAACATTATGAACAAAAAAGGTCCTCATTGGCCTTTCTCTAAAGTTAGTTGTTTTCAAGCTATGAGCCAATTAATTTCTGAAAACCCTGAAAAGGTTCATCTTCTATGATTAAAAACTCGGTTAAAAATCAATATTTTTGAAGTTGATTAGTATCTAAATCAAAGCTAAAATCGTCCCCTACAAGACCCCAAACAGTTTAAGATGAATTTATTTTAAAGTGATTTTTAAGCTAGTTTGCTAGGCCAAAATGGTTTACTTTTGATTTTTGCATTACATACCAACTTTATTAAATTGAAGCTGGAACCAATGTGTTTTTCTGCTTCATTTAACAACCTATGATCCCTATCAACATTTTGAAGAATTTCTGGAAAGTCACTAATTTTGTGCAGGTGATGGAATTGAATTTGCAAAATGTGAGAACCACACTTTATGAACAGATATCAAATGAGAAAAGGTCCAGGAACAATAATCCGTATCTTGCCGGCCCACTTTTTGATCAATTTTTTTCAAACCCTCCCCCCTTTTAAGTATAAAGCAAATAGGTGGAATACATGCTATGTAGCTTTTCAATTACTTAAAAGGGATTCTTCCCAGATGATAGCTGTTCATGTAGTGCAGTCCTCACATTTTGCAAACTCAATTCCATGCAGTGCCTTGTCTATATTATGTTTGGAATGTAACAAGTCAACTTTTTATATTGTTCAATCAATCATAATTCTCAAAGTCAGTATAATAAAGAAGGTTACATTTTCACCATATTACTCTTTGAAAGAAACTGTTAAAATATTGGTTCAAAATATTTTGTTATATTCAACTTAAACTATGTATTTTTATTCAATTTTCCAGAAGGAAAATAAAGAAGACTGTAGAAGAGGAAGTGAAGTACATGATATCAGATAAAAGTGAAAACAAAACAAAAGCAACAGTAGATAGGAAATTTTTCATTGAACTGAAGCAATTATTAAATATTGCAGTACCAGGATGGTCAAGTCCAGAATGTGGGCTATTTTTTCTTATTGCTTTAAGTCTAGTGTCAAGATCAATGTGCGATCTGTGGTTGATAGACAAGGGAACAAAAATAGAAAGGTAAGTTGCATGTTTCAGATTATTGCGGCATAAAGATCTATAAAACGTTTATTGTATCATTTTTGTCAAATATATTGTATCAACAATACAAATATTAGGTTCTATTTCCAATCATGCCAGGCCTGGTTATTTCTAAGATTCAATTGTGGTGTTTCGAAAATGACAATCGTACAATTGACTGTAATATTACAGTTATAAACTATACTGATGAGGAAACTCAGACATGGGTAGAGTCCTTTCTATTATGCCATCATAGCTTTGCATATCATTACTATGTATAAAAAAATTAATATATTACTAAATGATACACTGTATCAATATTTAACAAGCCATGGGTGCAATTTCTACGAAAAGTTTAAGTTCTTCTAGTTTTTTTAGTGTTGTTAAAGTTATTATATTTATTAGTTTATGAATAATCCTATCATAAATTATTGTTTCTGTTTCAGTCATATAATTATCAAACAATGCATTATGTAACACTCTTAATTAATGTTATTAGTATAAAGCTTTAAATGCATGCCAATCTAATTTTCTTGTTTCTAACTTTCATACACATTTGCTAAGCAGCAATTTAGGCGCGGAATATTGGACAAGTATATCAAGTTTTTCGCTATTTTATATTGTATATGACGAATTCTGATTTTATGACATATGTTATATATGTGAACATTTCTTTCAATATACTTTGTGACCCATCGCAAAATAAGGTTTTATGTATATCTCTCCATACGACTCGGGATGACTATTAAAGCTTTAAAACAGGTCTTAAATATTTAAGGCTACATCTAAAAGTTCAAAAAGTCATACCCAAAAGTCACTTATATCCATATCTGATCACACAGAGAAAAAAAATACACAGCATTTCTGGGTCTGTACTGCAATTTTTAATCTAGAACCCTACGTTGATAGCCATAACAAGTACTTTATTTCTCCACCGGTTTGCCAATTTTGGGCTGAATAAAGTAATAGCTCACCTAAAAATTGGTAAACCCACCCAGAACGTACTAGGCATTTTGTACCATTTGGGAGGAGGGACATGTCACTGGTCAGAATATCTGCATGTCACATGCACACATTTTCTTACACCGGAAATTGCTTTTTTAGGAACATTGTCCATCCAAAATCTTAGCCTCCAAATAATTGTTGTTGTTCTTGAACTTATTTATATCTGTCTGCAAGATTGTGGATGTAATCGTCAAAGACCCTATTAAGGAAGCGTAAGTGCTGTATGTATGTTGTCACCTGAATAAACCAAGTGGGCACACAACTTTAAGTATGAAACTGCTGACGTTCCCTGAAGCTCAACAGAATATATCTGCGAAATCTCTACAATCATATAATTAATTTGTTACTGGAGTCATCTCTATAATTGGTTTAGACTTCAGGTAGCTCATTGATTCCTGGTAATCGCAGTGTCATTAAGACAGTAACTGTATTGACTAACTTCAGGAAGGGAGAAAATATTTCAAATGTTCAAGAAATCGTAACAACAAAAATTTTGCAAATCTCAAAAACGTTAAGTTGTGAACGCGAATGTGTTCCTATGGCTTACAAACTGCATAGCAAGATATGCATTATCCTGTTAGAAGTACTATTAGATAGAGATAGATTATGGGCATCATTAACAGCACAATTTCTGCCAACCTGAAATGGTATGTTTCGACTATTATAATCTAACATACTGGATGCATCTTCTCTCTTATAATTGCTTTAGTTAGTTCCAAGCATTCGGCAATGTCTGGCCATTGGTACTACCTTAGGATATTAACAATATCTACAATGCATGACCTATAGAGAGAAAGTTTCGACGAAATTACTTTTGCCACCATCTCGAGGGGAGCGTCGTAATTATGTATTTTGATGTATTGCATTTTAATGTTACGTAATTAGCGGTTAACAGACAGTGAGGTATCATTATTTTTATCATTTCATTTTCGCATATATTGATCATAACACGCTAACTGTGAATGTTTTACTATAAAGTACGGTTCGACTACGGTTATATTATATAATCATATAGATCGCTCATTCGATCGTGTAACATTTTTAGACAAAATATCGTCAAGTAGGTAGCTTCAGTCTATTTTTGACTGACCCATTTTAATATCAGCTAATATACGTTTTTGTAGGTAAGAATATAGTAAAACTCATTGGTAAATATTGCTCATACGCTGTGACATTGACATAACCAAAAACGGGTCGAGAGATAGATAAAACGGAACACTTGTACTTTTTTGTTCAACATTGGATTTTTGAATGCTTGGTAGCCAGGGTACTAATCTAAATCAAATAATCCAACCCTATTTTTGCATGTATTTAAAGCTTACAAGCAAATTCTATCAACATGAATAAAAAAATCCTTATAGTTAATACATTTTAAGCGCGAAGAAAACAAAACCTTTCAAACTGACTGGCAAACGTATTAGTCATGCTCAAAGCTATTTTTCAATAATAAGGTTATGACTGTTCGTGTTCAGTATGGCATAGTTCAGTGTCTGAGCAACGGCTTTTAGTTTGCATCGATTGATACGAGAAAATCATCATTCTTCTCTGAAATATAATCTAGAACTCATATATGTAGTTTGAAGATGTGTAAAACTGTATAAGGCCTTCATAGTAGTTTTGGCATCACACTTTTACTAGGTTTTTTGTCATTTTTTTTACGTTCCAGCCAGACTTATGCTTTAGCAGTAGCACTTATGTGTTCGATGCTGAAAATGGTCTGGCCACTCATGAATGTGTTTTCCATATAAGATTGTTGCCGATTTATTATTAATATCCAGGAAATGAAAACTAGTTTATTCTCGCTTGAGAATGACGTTCAAGTTTTTGAATGTTGTTTTCTTCTTGATGGAATATCAATCATTAGCGTGTGATATTAGGTGACTGTTTAGTACCATTTTATCAAATTCAATGTATACTTCGTCAGAATGGTAATTTAAGTCTGGAGACGAAAATTGTCATGTAAAATTTGACCTCTGAATATTCAGCGCTTAATTTGAATTGCAAACTGATTATATACGAGGTGAATCAGAATTATGTCACGTTACTATGTCATTAAAGTAATCATCAAACTGTATGAATAACTCTGATTGCTATCAATAATTCTGTAGTATCGTAGTGTTCAAAAGTTATAATTTCAAATTCCAGTAGGCTAAAATTATTAAGGATCTGACCTTTCTTCTGAAAATAAACTCAGTGTGTCAGTTTCATTATTCAGTTTTGTATGGAAAACCAAACGATAGTGATAGAAATACTTAAAACCTGTAAAAATGTAAATGATTATAACATATACCATTTTTTATCGAATAATTATTTGAAGTATGTGGCTATTAAGAAGATTTCCGTCGCTTCGCTATTTTCAACGTAAATGCGTGCATGTCACTTATTTCCGTCAGCCTGTCTGTCTATCTGACCATTTGTATATCTGTTTGCCTGCCTGTCTGTCGGTCGGTCTGTTCGGTAATACTTGGCCCGTCTATAACTTGAGAAGTACCGATCGGATTTTGATGAAACATTGTCACAAGGTTACTACGAGCCCAATGACGAAAAAGCGTTGCAGTTTTTGAAAACTGGTCCAGTGGCTCAAACTTCATTTTTTTACGTTCCAGAGGATCCTGATCATTTAAACAAAAAATGGGTTAAGAAGTTAGGGGGTGCGGGGTTGTAGGTGAGTGGGGGAGGGTATATCTCAATTTTTTGATGTTATTATATTTATACGCTCAGAGTCTCAGTAATTATACACACTTACTTTACAGATTTCACACATCATAGATTTCCCCGTATATTTGTCCTTAAAACTTATCAAAGAAATGTTTTCAATACGCGCCTGCTTCTTCTTTTGGCGGCGTGCCGAGCTTGGTAAGTGTTCTGGTATTCCTTCCGCGCTGCCACGTCTGATCGGGATAGGTATCGGGGAGAGGCGACGTTGCTAGGTGGACTACCGGTAGGGCAGGGGCAGAATGTCTATGGACTAATTGTATGGATATGTTTGACTGACTTAATCCGTAAAATTTCTCTGTCATACATGTTCGTAACCAACTTTGTTCCTCAGAGGCTCTAACTCGAACTGATGACGACGTTATGTGAAAAGTGTCAATCTACTTCGCGCCATTTTTTCTCCTGTAGGGTCAGCATTTCACAATTTCTAAGCCACTGGCAATGAAAATATTTGTATGTATTGTACTACATGTACATAATTTTAATTAACACACCCCGAAGAAATGATGTTTACTCGATTCAAAATTCAACACCGTGTATTTCGTTAACGGAACATTTTAAGAACTATGTGCGTATTTTTATAGTTTTTTATGCGAATTTTACCTCATTTAAATCATGTTTCACCAAAAGGAGGAATCATGTAAAAATACAGTATTTAAAAATGCAATAGATGTTTCATGAAAGTCAGCGGCGTAGAAAATAATTTTCATTTTTCTTCAACAGGTGTCAAAGTGTCAAGCACGAAAATTTTTGTATGTATACATATGTTAGTACTACGACTATTCTATATCTATATATCGTAACACACTCTGAAGATACTTTTTTCGATTTCGAAATTATACTTCAACACCCAGTATCTTGGAAGAGAGGCATTTCAGGACTTATGTTTATAGAAACAGAAAGATTGACATGATTTTATAAACCACCTTGTATGTTTTTTAACGACGAACAATCCCGGAAAAGTAGACGCTTCAGCCAGACTACACAGTCGAGTAAGTTTGCAAGCACACAAGACTGCGGCTCGCACTGTGAACAAAATTAAATCGCACGACATTAAGTCCAACCAAAATTACAATGTTCCTACAACTAATCTCTAAATTAATATTAGGATCAATTTAAAATTCCCGAATACTAGTTAAACATGTCAAGGTACCCCTGAAACCGACGCACTTATTTCTCTTTGCTCTCCCTGCTTCATTCCTTTCTCTCTTCTTCCCTTCTTTCTTGCTGACTTTGACTGGTAGCTGGGCAACCAGACCTGATAGACCCCTACTGACTTACGATACCTTGTCCAAGAGCAAAGGCTGTACGGATGGCTCCGCCACACAATGACGAATTGAAAAAAGACGCTGCAGACGAAAGGTACACATATTTTATCGGTGCTGAATATAGGTAACTATGGCGGTCACAGATGCCTTTCCATTGAGCCATAGAATGCCCTAGCTGTCTTTTAGACCTCTAACGGTCAGGGAGATGAATGTAGGAAAAAACTAGTTTGTCGATATAGTGTCCTACTTCTATTCGTAGTTGTCTAACGCCCGTATCGTCAGTCGTACCTACAAGTGTAGGGCGCGTTTATGGCCTCCTTGATTGTCATACTTCTCTCTCTCCTTCAAAAATTTCTAGATTATACTTGTCCCGTGTCAGCGTCAGCGCTCTCCTATTGTGAAGATATGTTTTCTTTTTAAATTGTAGGAAATTTCAGGCTGATAAAACATGATGTAACTCAAAAGCAAGCACAATTTGGTGCAAATAGATGTTTGTGACATAACCTCAAAATAGAGTTCTGACACGGAGAAGTAGAAAACTATGACAATCAAGGAGGCCATAAAGTCGCCCTACAATTGTAGGGGCCTAAGGCCCGTATCGTCAGTCGTCCCTGTGTAATCTAGAAATTTTTGAAGGAGAGAAAGGAGTATGACGATCAAGGAGGTCATAAACGCGCCCTACAATTGTAGGGACGACTGACGATACGGGTCTAAGACATACTCTTAAGACAGTATTTATCTGATCACTATACTGGACTCAACTATAATCGATATTCATCTCTAGACAGAAATTACATATTATGGATTATAGATTGCGTCACAATTAAAGTCGTATACCTACTTGTTTTGTCTTGATTTATGTATTTATTATTGTTTAGTTGGGTTTTGTGAAACCTTGAAGTTGACCTGTGTATCCAAGCAGTCTTGTTAATAGTTTGAATACATTTTAGGTAGTATAGTAATAGACCAAGAGGCCTCATTACATTTAAAAAGGCTTTCTACGTAACTTCTTACCGCTACTGGTCATATTAGTAAGCTGAAGGCGTAATAGTTTGCTGTTGCTGCTTAATGCATTTACGGCACAGATCTAGCTGAACAAGAAACATTCAAACGACATTTGCTCTTGACCTGACGGACTGACTTGGGAGGGTTCTGCTTCTCGTTCTAACTTAAGGTATCAAGAAGGTGGAACAACTTGCCAAATGAGGCTTTCCCCAGTCTACTAAGTTTGGGAAGTTCAAAAGTCCGATCAATATATTTGGTGTCTTTTAGATTTACCATTCGAAATGCTACAGCATATTCAATGGTTTAGAGCGGAAAAAAGATCAAAATTGAAGTGCCTTAGCATTATGTTTTTATTGTGTATCGTAGCAACTGTCATCTGATGCAGCTTACTGACGAACCTATCTCACACGTACTTGAGAACTAACCGGTCATTTTTTGGTCGTTTTTGTAAGTGGGTCATGGTGAACACAATTGTATCTTACATCGATATTGATGTGCTCTCTAATGAAAGAGCCCCGAGAAACTACAAAAGGAAAAGTAATTTACGTAGTATTGAAACATTTCAAAACTTGCATGCAAAGAATGAATGAACATTTCCTATTTACATAGGAGGAGGCAGCAAGCTAATAGCTAACTTTTATCAAAAATGTCATAATAGTATTTTACAACCGGTATTCAAAACTGGATTACTGTGATAAACGTATAATAACCTCCTCGAAATCGATATCGATTTATAGCGCACGAAAGTATATAATTTTATACCAGTAGATTACTTGCATTTTCTTGATTTACGCAATTTTAATACCATTCGTTTTTACCTGTGCCGGAATTATTTGTCATTTTGTATCCCAGATTCTGACAAGTATTCATGAGTATGC